AGTGATTGCCTGTTTTGCTTCAACGGGAGAAAATAACAGGGCTATTCAGTCAGTACAAGCTTTTATTTGTTGTTGTGCAAACCTTCCCTAATATGAAGCGGTCTGTTTTGGCCCGTTCACGGTCAAGCACATTCATCATAGGGTCCTTAAATATTTCAAATAATCACACCGGCCCTTATAAGAAGGCCTAGATAACATATGCACGGCCATGATATTTTTAGAAGTCAATGACCGCTACAGCTCATCGATGACGAAGTGTATGAAAAAGGACATCTCTTGTCTAAACAGGCATTAAATTAGGCTGATGTCACACTTTACTGCCTCTGTAACCCCGTGTCTTTATTTCTGGCCGTCTGTACCTCTCATTCTCTGAAACTTTGTCCTCACTCACGAGCAAAGGACTCACAAAAAAGTCCCCTGTTAATTCCCTCCTCAGCTTGTCCTCTGCCTCAGTGTCTTTCAGTCCCCACCACTCACCTCCCTCATTTCGTATGTGGCATTGAGGAAGAGGGATGGAGAGTGTCTGCATTATTTACAGTAGCTCTTAACCTGGCAGGCTCGCACTCACCACAGCCCAGAGCTGTTTTTAGAAACGTTGCCGTTGCTTTCGATACTTCAATGAAAAGGTTGACTGAATTTCAAAAGAACGTGTTATGTAATTTGTTCTGGCTGTTACACTGTAAGGGATAAGAGAAGTAAGGTAATAACTGCAGCTAATATATGCAGCATTAATAAATTAACACACAAATGGTCACAAGGATTTTTCCATTTTAAACATTTCTAACATAAGCTCTACCTTGACATTCCCTATCATACATTTATTGTGACTGAGTCTGAACTGTCTCTAAAGTGAACACATTACTGGCAGACTGTATTAAACAACTAAGTTGCCCAAGTCTGATCACAAAGGGACCTCATTTTTATTTGAATAAATGTTTACTTGTGTAGTTAAATGAGGCTACCCCTGTATCAGTATTATATAACACATAAAGATTGGTCATTTATTCAGAACTGCAGTAGTGGCTGTGCTGTACAGAAACTTACATTGTGTATGGGTCATTTCAGGTCTGATCCACTCAAAATGTCTTTTAGTGAGTGCTGAAAATGTCCTTTAGCTTGATGCATTTCATAATCTTGCAACATGACAGCTATGCACTTAACAACTTTTACTGAACTTAGGGGCTGGTTGATTCTGCTCCACTGCTGCTCAAGTTGGTTTAGGAAATTGTAAGCGCAAGTGGCTGTTAAAGTGTCTATAATTAATATTTTTATATTAACAATGGATGAAATGACTACTGAAAGACATTGCATGAGTTTTTATGGCGTCTTTCATCTCATTGTTTTGCTTTTATATGCTGTTTACAGCATATGCTGTACAACAGCATGAACATAGTGGGACATTTAACAGCTAAAGAGCGCGATATTTCGATATTATTTGTGAGTTAGCAGAGACATCAAACTGCTAAAAGAAGAGAACTCTAAATTAATGCTTATGTTGCTGTGTATTGGCTGAATGGGTAAATGGCAACTTTTTCCAATATCAGCTTAGTCAATATCAACAAGTAACAAATAATTTGACAATGTTGTGTTCATTGCTTTTTTCTGCTGCCCTCAAGTAGCCAAAATAAAATCAGTTATTGCAGGTTTCAGGTTTTGGATAGTTCCAACATTTTGGGAAACACACTTTCTTTCAAAAGAGCTAGATGAAAAGATTGATAACACTCTTATGTCTATGGGAAACTGCTAAACTGGTTTTGTCCAAAGTTAAAAAAAACCATGCCTACTAGCACATGTAACCTCAGTAATTAATCTGTGATGTCAATGTAAAAATGTAAAGTAACAGGGGAAAACGCTTAACTCCCCATTTAACCACAAACTGTTGACAAAATAGTTGCAGACTGATTGTCGGTGATTGACTAATCAAGTAACAAATGTAAAAAAACATTGGTAATGTGGTGTCAGTTTACAGCAGTAGTAGTAGACAGCTGCAAAACACGTTGCACAGTGGAACAAATGCCAAAAAAGAGATGAAAATCATTTTTATATAACATGTTCTTCGCTCTGACAGAGGTCAGCCAAACACTCTGTGTCTTAATAACAGCTTGTCTCTGAACTTAACCCGTTGGTGTGTCTGGCTTTCTAGTTGGGGAATTTTGTGCTCAGACAACCTTCTTGAGGCCTGTTATTTCGTGTGTGTGTGTGTGTGTGTGTGTGTTCTTTCTCAAGTGTGTGTCCCTTTCTGACACCACAATCTTACATGTATATGATTGTCTAGAGACTAGGGGCCTTGGAGCCAATAGATACAGAGGAAGTGAGTCATTATGTTGCTGCCCTTTCACAGTTTCACTGTGAAACTTGTATACAGAACCACAGAGGACACAGAGCCAAGGTGCTGCAGCTTTGTTTGTGACCTTTTTAATGCATAAATTGTGTGTGCATGAGTTAAAAGTTTGGTGATGTATAGCTGCATGTGTAGGAAACAGGAAACATCAGGTTGATGGTGGTGCTTTATGTATTCATTGCTTGTCGATTGTAATATCCAAGAGCATTGCATTGTTGAGTGGTTACAATGTTGTGAGAGAGAAAACATACATAATGGTGTGTTTGCGTGCACGTCTATGTACTACAGGTTGTACATGCAAGTGTTTGAATACATGCATCATGTGGATATCACGTCTAGGTGAAATCATTTCTGATGTTTATCCAAAATGGACAACCAGGTTGCTGTTGTTTACTGAATGAAGACAGTCCAGGACTGTATTTTCAAATACTATCTGACATAGGTTTGAATGTACGTGTTTGCATTGCTGTTTTTAGATTCCAACAAAAGCTGTAGAATCTTCCTTTTATTAAAATGGCAAGACTTAAAAAGCATGCAGAGAAAGGAGGATTTTTATTCTCATACTTAAATTAATCAGAATTAATCAAAAGCTATTCTGATGTATCACCATCATCGTAGAGCTGTTCAAAGCCTCTTTACTCTGGTGTGAGTATCTATTTTTCAGATAATTACACTTTCGTCTCCGGGGCAGAACCGGCCACTGAAAGCTCTGTTGAGCATAACAATGACCACACCTACAGGGAATTTACTTGTATAGTAAATATTCAGGAAAGTGATTGGAAATGTTCTCTTTTCTCAACAGACTATTAATTAATTCAGCCAATGTATAATATTAAACATACTGTGCATATGCATATAGCATGGAAAGGATGTTAACATAATAGTAGTGTCAGAACACTGGACCCTCATGCATCCACTCTGAGATAGTTATTGGATAGTGCTTATACTACACCAAATAGGTTGATTTTACAGCATTGCCTTTTATTATTTAGTTAAATTGATTTGAAAATAAGCTTTTTACCAACTTTTAACTTTGCGTCCTTCCATTGGGCTTGGTCTAATAACCTAAAGATTTTGCGTAATTGTTTCATTTATTTTAGCACATACCTTATAATATATGTATCCATCAGAGATTTTCAGCAGCAGCTAGGAACTGACACCGTTTTAAGCCCCTCTGGGAGCTATTTTGTGTGAGCACCTTACATTTTCCCCCTGACAGCATTTCACAGCTCAGCCAACAGCCATGGCAGGTAAAGGTCAGGGAAAGAGGAAGTGTGGGATGCAGGGGAATACAACTGAGTTAGCTTGCCTTCATTAGCAGTGCCCTACTCTCACTTCTGAGATGGGTTTTTAAAACGGAAGCACGTGTGGAGGAGAGGAGCCCAGAGGGAAGAGAAAGCATATGGTGACTAAGCAGGAAAGACTGAAAGTGCTGATTCACTTGTTCACAGCCTGTAACAGATGAAGAGAATATAATCATCACTGGCCATCATCAAACAATATTTTCCCTCATCTTCTTGCTTATAATCTGTTGTCAAAAATGTCCAGTTGTATCCCTTTGCTCTGTCTTTGATTTAATTAGGGTCCCTCCTTCTCATTAAAACTCCTCAAGTTGCCCTCCTTTGATGCTCCTCAATCTCGCACTCTCAGTCAGCTCCTTTTCTCGCTCTTTGAAATCACTCATTCATTTCCATATCTTTCCTACTTGTTTCTTGGTCTTTTGTCACCAACAGCAGCTTTAGGTTTAGAATATGAAGATTAAAGATCAAAAGCAAACAGAAGTGCTGCCCTCAATCAGTTCAGAGAACATGCTGCAGGGCATCTAAAACTAAATGCTGGTATTGCATGGCCAGAGTATTTAATTAAATGAACACGGTCCAATGTGTACAAATGGCATAAAGTCATGTTCATTGAAACAGAAGTAGCGTAGCCGGAAACCAACTGTAAGTCTGGCCTTTCCTGAAGAAGCATTATTGCTGCAGAAGGTGACTTCGTTTTCTGACCTTTTTCTCAACAAAGTCTGGAAAATAAGGCAATAAATAAAGAATGAGTGTTGACTCAGGGCCAAGCAGACAGGCAATTCATGGTGAAACTCACTTACAAAACTGCTTTTTACCTTTCTCTCTTTCTGTTGGTCTTGGGGCTGAAATAAGAAGCAGAAAGCAGAAAACAAACTGTTGAACTTAAACTTTCAAGTTTGCACTGCATCCTGAATTTTTATTTCTGATTAAAACACAGTATGATTATGCAATTTATATTCTCAAATAGTGAAGGTATCTCATGAATTATTATTGAATCTGAGGAATTACTTCGGATCTTATTTATTGGCATTTGTTTTGAGTTAGAAATGTTTGTTGATGTTTGAATAAGCTTTTGCGTTACATTACATTAGCTTTGGATTTAATTCCATGGTGAGATTGTGTTTGAAGGTTGTACACAATAGTGGCAATTAAATATTTTATGACTGTGATTCTTTTATTATTATCACTATGTGTATTGTATTGTAGTGTTCCTGTCATAATTTAGCTTGACAATAGCGAGCATTATGAGCCTATTACACTATATACTGTGTTCCAAGGTTATACTGTAAGGTTACTAAAGTGGTGGTTGTCAGACAATAGTATGTGAACATATCCTGTGTTTGTCTTTTATCTTTCAGTACCGGATCGGGCAGCTGTACATGATCAGTAAACACAGCCACGAGCAGAGTGATCGAGGGGAAGGAGTGGAGGTGGTCCAAAATGAACCGTATGAAGACCCAGCGCATGGCCAAGGGCAGTTCACAGAGAAACGAGTCTACCTCAACAGGTTGGTGGAACACATCTTTTCTAGTTAAACAAACATGTGCTAATTGATCCTTAATTAATTAATCCTGTCTGTCAATTTACCACATTTTTGGTGAAGCTAGTTAAGAAAAGTTTTTATATTGGATGTCTTTCTTAGACAGAATCCTCTGGTCCACATATATTTTTGTGTTTGTAAGAAAAACATAAGCCACCATGGTTGAACAGAAAAAAGGTACAAGCACATTGAAGATAAAAGGCATCACAGAACCTCTCTGTATCACTGGATAGTGCAGAAGTGAACGTTACAGCATTGAGCTTAGTAGTAATTGGTACTTTTAATGATTCTTTTATTTTTTTTATTTTGGTTTTACTTATAGTCTTAAAGGCTTGCTTGCCACCTGGGACTAGATCTGTTTCTGCATCCTTAGCTATGATTTTTACCAAACCTGGAAAAACCAAAGTATAGTGTATTATGTGCATATGAACTGGCTTACATTTAGCCATATGATAAGACTGTAAAGATTTGCACATACACAAATACACTGGCCAAAGCAAGTTGTTGCTAGCAGCAGGAGTTACTTATTCATCAGTTATATATCGCCTCATATTACTGATGTATCTCACTATCTCTTTGTGGTTTCATATGCGTGTTTGCACATGCAAAATCACGTGTGACCCTTCCACATGCAAACAGTTTTCAGTTGTTATATCCACATGAATCAAAGAGAGGTGACTGAGGACAGGATGGAGAAGATGTAAAGAAGAAAAGGAAAATGACAGTGGGAGAAAGAACAAAAAATGAGGGCAAGAGAGGGAAGAATAGGGGGGGGGCAGAGATGCTGTTGGCCATTTGTTTGAGCACAAATACCTGTGTCAGCGTTCACTATGCCGGGGAACTAATTATGTTGAGTCAGCACAGCTCTGCAGAGGAGAGGAGAGGAGAGGAAGAAGGCAGAGGGAGCAAACAGAGATAAGTTGGTTTTCCATTCAGTTAGTTGCATGAAATTTGTTTTTATAGTTGCTCAAGGCTTTGTTTAGACAGTAAAGAAATCATGGTTTGAATAGCAAAGGAATATAAGTTGAATTATTGTCTTGACACAGTGACAACATCCTAGACATGCTCAAGTGATCACACTTCCTATGCTTGTTTGTAAGTGTGAGCAGTTAAAAAGTTCATGGCAGTTTATTTCTTTCATACTCATTTATGGGTATTACAGACATTTCTTTCAAACTCTCGTATGCCCATTTACATCTGCAGCTTAGATGGAAAAAGACAAAACACTGACCTTTCCAGAGTAGCTGACTTTTGTTAAGATAAAATGTTCATTTCTCAGTAGGAACACAAGATGAATAAATACCACTCACTTAGTAACATTTCAGTCCTGTCATGAAATGAAAAAAGGTGAATTTGTAAGAAAGTAGTATGTTTCCCTGGCAGAATGGAAAGACATCAATGCTAATAAATACATAACAGGACATCCCCATACAATCTGCCTATAATGATCTGTGATATAAAGCAAAAGTACTCACTCTTGAGTGTAAAATGAGAAAATAACCAAACCATTTGTGATTCCTGGGATGATGAAATTGAGTATATTAAAGTAATATCTGAGACTTTACATCAAGCAATGTAAAATGAACTTACATGTTATATTAAGGAGGTTACAATAACTAACCACTGTTCTGCCCCATTCAACTGAACATCCATCTGGCTCTGCAACAACTAAACACTTCGCTCTGATTCACCAGCAGGGAAGTCAATCTGGACTCGTTCTGTCACGCTTCAACCACCCCTTTAGTCCTCACAATCTCCCTTGCGCTGTACTTGACTATTTGGGCTGATCCCATCCGACCTGAACATCGATCCCACGCTCGTTCTGTCAATAACCTTTATTAAGAACAGAGAGGGGATGGTTGATTTCATGACTGAATAAAGTGTAGCCTTTCCTTGGATGGGTTCAACGTAACTATTTTTTTCCCCTTTCTAAATACAAACACGGGCTTTGGCTTGAAAACTCCTAGCACCCACCCACCACACTTGCACGCTTGGCAACGTGGGCCCCCGTCGCACCAGCTATTGGCATAGATCTTTAAAAGAACAAGGAGGTAATGGAAGAAATCAACAGATGGGGGTGTAGGAGGAGTGTCAGTCTCTTTTGTTGAAAGGGAGGGGGAGAGAGAGAGAGAGAGGAGAGAGAGAGAAGAGAGAAGAGGATGAACAAGCCGCAACATTCACACAATGTGATCGCGAAGGCTTGTTTTTATTCATAGCTGTCACGATGCAGTGGGCACCATTTTTGTCCTTCTCAAGAAATTGTTTTCCATGTCAATCAAAGGAACTAGAGATGACATGCTACATGAAAGCCTGTGCATGTCTGCGTTTGACATATAAATGTGTTATCAATGCAGCCTCAATTAAATCTTAGCAGAGTTCAGAATTGCAATTCCCCGGGTGTACATATTGGCAGTCTACTGTACCTCTAAACAGTGAACACATGGTAGATGATACAGAGAGGTTCAGGGTGCCAGGATGGACTCATTGGGCTCAGAGAACTCTCAATGGCTGCAACTAAAGGAATAGTTCTACATTTTGAGAAATACGTTAATTAGCCACTAACCACTTTCAAGTCTGCAGCTAAATATGAAGTTAGTTATTTAGTGTAACAACTGAAATCAAGGTGAAACGACTCGCTTGGCTTTGTCCAAAATATGTATTATCAGCACTTCTAAAGCTCACTAATAAAGTGTTTACCTTGTATGGCCTGACCAAGAAATATATATATATATAGTTATAATGTGTTTTTTTGTGAGCTTTAGAGGTGCTGGTAGGCAGATCCCCCCCCCCCATCTTCAGTCTTAACATAGGATTATACGGTTTGAGTACTTTTTAGTTTTAAGTTCCAAGAAGGTAAAAACAAACCTTAAAGGTTTTTAGGTAAGATGTTTTTTATTATCTCCCCTGAGTTTGGAATGTGTTCTTTTCACACCCTCTCTGAGTTTCAGTGTTTCATACTGTGAGCAGATTTTCCTTTCAGAAGTGCAACAAATTTATGATGATTGCCACGATGACTGAGGCCATTCCACACTCATCCCTGCTTTGCTGCTACATGCTTACAGTCTCTCCCCTCATATGTTATATACATGTTGTCTGTCTCAATGTATCTTTGCAGTAAATTACCCAGCTGGGCTCGAGCAGTGGTTCCTAAAATCTTCTACGTGACAGAGAAAGCATGGAACTACTACCCTTACACCATAACAGGTGAGCTAATGTGTGTGCCGGACTGTCCAGCTAATCAATCTGACGCAACTCTTCTTATACGCTCAGCACACACGTCATATCAAAGCCACTTAACTACTATAACAAAAAGAGCCTTTCTGTAAGGCTCTGCCTCTCTAATACTTGTGTAGAAATTGAGCCTACAGTAACTTAGACTAGAATAGTTGTTTCATGTGACTGCAGTGCAAAACACTTTGTTTTGCAACGTGACGTGTGAAAAGATTGTACGAGTTTTCACAACGCATAGAGCACATGGTTTCCACTGCATTTTTAACTCTGTGCAAATACAGACATGTGTTGTATAATTCAGGAATCCCAGTATTTAACTACTCCACATTATTTCTGAAAGATGTGCTGGATAGAGTGACATTGGAAATAAGCATTTTTTATAGCATTATAAGCAAAATGTAAATAAAATGTTAAAATCAGTGACCTCTGAAGACAAAAGAGGAAGGAGGATTCTGCAACATGGATCAATACAGGATAACCTTAAACTTCAAAAGGTGATAGTATTGACGTGGGACTGCAGCTCAAGACAAAAAGCAACACACATTGTGCATTCACAAGGGTCCTTAATGCTGACAGAAGATGACTTGGTTCAAATGTAATAATGTCACACTGTCAGTCACACCATTGCAGCTTTCGGTTTGTCACTGTGTCAGTTTGCCAGGCAGACGTGTGAGAAAGCATGAACATGTTATTGACACATAAGCATGTTAAAGCTGACATGGGTTTAGCTATTAATCGTTTTTCCATGAAGCAAATGCTTTTTATCCACACTGACTTACAATGAGTGCAACAGTGGAATACGCTTTGCTTCGTAAATTGCCGACATTACAAGCAACCAGTAGTCAGGAGTGCAGTGATCAGAGCTGCAGTGCCCAGAATATATTTCTGTGGTGCTGATCTAAAGGGGAAGTGTTATAAGCTGAGGAACATAGATAAAAGCTATCTTTTTGATGAGAGCAAATTAGAGAAAGTAGAAGAGAAGAGGGGATGATGTGAGGTATGTGACAAACACTATGCTGTTCCTGTATGTCTTGCACCTTCTACATTCTAGGGTTTCTCATTTCCTTTCATGCTGTGGAAAATTTGAGGAGGCTACATAACTAACTGTTTCTCTTGTGTTCTGTCTCTGCTCCGACCTGATGTGTGTGTCATCGCATGGTCTGTAGAATACACAGTAAGTATCCTTTGTGCATATGTCACCGTCTACTATTTGCATTTATTTATTTATTTAATTTGGAAAATACATGCATCAAAACAGAAGAGGGGAAATGTAAGAAGCCAGAGTAACACTGCATGTCTTTATGATTACATTATGGTGCACCAGTGGCCACATTGAGTGCAAAACACATTAAAGAAAACCAAGGCTGTTGATCATCAGATTTGTCTCCCGAATACAGAAAACAACAATCTTGTCTCTTCACTTCTTTTTAACCATGAGTGCACTCAAAACACCTGCTGTGTCCAAAGTCACTCCTTTGTTTACTTATTCATATTTCCTACATGCAGTAATAAATCTTCTAAATTTTAGATATAGATTTCAGATACTTATGAATCATCAGCAATGCACTTTGGCATTTTTAACAATTTTTTTTTTTTTGTACTGTACACATATTTTTTTATATTCCATTGTCTAATTTTTTGATCGCACTATATTTACACTTACTAGAAATTAAGCATTCAAATAAAATGTCAAAGTAAACCTAGTGCACTAGGTGACAAATTGATAGTGATTTTGGACACAACCTTAGAAGTATTTGATCTGGTGGCAGGGAAAAGAAATGTGGGTTAAAGTGGAATGTTAAGGCTACTTAGGGGCAGTGAAATGAGCTGTAATCACAGTTTTAACAATGATTGCCTTTTAAATTTGTGATGACGATCATGCTAGCAAACGACCACATTTACACATCAAGCAGACACAGAGTAACATTAACATACATTCGAAGTCGTTTTTCTGTTGTCACTACGAACCCTCTCACATTACATAAAGCAATGATAATATACAAACATTAATTAGTGCAGCTTTAAGAACAAATATAGTCTTCCTAATTGGCTCATCGACTGGATTAAACTGTCCATTATGTGATAGAAAAAAGAAAACATTTACCTCGCCTTTGTGATCACTTTTTATAAGCTAAAATGTCTGTTTACAGAAGTCAGTTATGCAGTCTGCTGGTGTCTGAAGCCCTGGTATCTTGCTGTTACACAATGGGATTTTTTAGTTACAACACCTGCATCGTCAATGTCTGCAGTGATCAAAACAACTCAGTTTTTCCCCTCTAACACATGCACACACACACATTTATATGCAGAACCACCTATGTGACCCCTGATTAACCCTTGAAAACACATGAAGCTTTAGGAGAATAAGCTGATACATTTTTAAGACACATGCATACAATTAGGCTCAGCTACCGGGCTTCTGTTGTACAGAGTGTGAAACGTCAACAGCATGAGTCACACCGCAAGGATAAGAGGGGAAAGACGACAATAATGTGGTGACAGAATGCTTCATAATGTCTGTGTTTACTGTATGTGTGGGTACATTTTGTGTTTATGTATGAGTCAGTGGAAATGCACTGATGCAAAGATTTGTTTTTCAAAAAGACTCACAAAAGCCTTAAGAATTGTCTTGGTATTTGTCAGTTTTGACAAGGAGATAGAAATTAAAATACTGTACTATCAAAGTTTTTGAAGAATTTTTGTTTTGCACTACACAGTGAGGAAGAACATCAAAAAAGAGAGACAGAAATATCCAACAGCAGCTTTGACAGTAAAAGTACTTTGGAAGTCTACTTTACCACACAAAGAAGTTAAAGCAAGCGCATTACAAAGTGGCTCCTTTTTTGACAGCTGTATGCCATTAACTACAGTTAAGACATAAATCCAACCAATCTGCAAATCCATCTGCATTATCATTACCAAAAGTTTCCATTACCATTAAAGACAGTAAAACAACGATGACAGCTATGATATGCTGTGTCCAGCACGTAGGATGTTTTTTAATTTGATCTTTTTCTTTCTTTATCCACAGTGCTCATTCTTGCCCAAGTTCTCTATCCACATAGAGACAAAATACGAGGACAACAAAGGATGCAATGACAATGTGAGTATACTGTGTGTGTGTTTGTGTGTGTGTGTGTGTGTGTGTGAGAGACACAGGAGTTTTGAATTTTGTCTGTAAATTACTTTTGACTAGAATCCCTTAAATTAGTTTTTAAAGAATTGTGACCATGGTACGTGCTGAGTAGGACATTTACAGTTGAAAAATGTAATTCTTTCATTGTTTCAAAGTACCTGCAACATACCTTTGCAATGTGTGCACTGCAGTTTCCTGTTGCTTATTGTTCGACATACACACCCAGAAACTGATATTTCTGCAATTAGCTTGTATCAGTCCATATGGCCGGTCAGTTTATCGGTCAGGTTCTAACTACCCTACAAATCTCTCAGCTTAATATAACACTGCCTGTCTTCTGTTCTTCTTATACAGAAATCTGTGTAAGACCTCTGCAAAAGCTAAATGAGTAAAACCATCCGGGCAGATTTGGTAACTCACAGACACTCCTTTGCAATCCCGTCATATCATAATGCCAACTATACAATGCGCCTCGAGAGTCTGCCAAAAACTGCTCCACTCATTGGACAGCTAATTTAATTTGGACTGTTGGCCTACTCACTTTCTTTCTCTCTATATTTTACTCTACTCTCCTGTTTGTAGGGGCATTAGTCATCAAATGAAACGCTGCTACTGCCTGGACAGTGAGGAAGAAGAACAGTTTTAGTGTGCAAAAGACAAATTGCCTGTAATATATCCATGGTGGGTGGCCAGCAGGTTAATTTTACTGCGTCTTTATATTTGGCTTCAAATTATGAGTAATTTAGCGATTGTACAAGGGAGGAATGGCACCCAACTTTGCTCAAGTGTGTTGTTGATGTGTCAGAGTAGTTTATACATGTACTCATAAAGCAAAGCCGGAGACAGAAATGGACAGACTGTCGGTGCGCATAAAACACAGTAGGGATGCTTTAGATTGATGCTTGTTTGTTTTGACAAGACAAGGCGACAGATCAGACTTTTATTTTATTAAATCTAACAGAAATTGCCTACAGCAAATGCACTTCATGGGTAAGAACTGAGAAAAAAATCAAACTCGGTTTGCATAAATATGTGTTGTGAGTGTGTTTAGATGCCAGACAGTCTAAGATGTCTGTGCATATGAGCGCAGATATGAGAGCGGCACGTCCTTGTTGCGCATACACACACTCAAGTCAATGATTCAGTGATACAGCTGCGCTACTTTACATAACATCTTCAGGGCAAACAAACAAGAAGCTCTGCATGTTTTATGACATTGTATAACACTTCATGAGTATGTGACGTGTATTTGCTATAAAAGTACCGTGAAATAATATGAATGCATCTGCGTGCGGCTTTGTTTTTAACATTTTATATCAAAACATTTTCTCTGATAAGTGTCATGTTTTCCCATGTGTGAATTCTAATGGCATAGCATACATCTGTCCAGTCGGGGTGTCCTAATGCTGTGTGTAAGCCTAAAAGAAAGGCCAACTGGAAAAAAATTGATTTACTGTGTGGAAACTGATTCAGAGATAGAGGAAGGAAGGAAGGAAGGAATGGTGTGGACCGGAAATGAGTGGGTGTGTGAGTGGACATCATGCAGGGTTTGAATGGGGACTGCAGTAACATTACATGACATGCAGAATTCCACAGTACTATCTCCTGTCAGACACCCACGCTCACACTCACACACTCTCTCTCT